AGCTGGTCTAAAACAAGTAGGACATATGTAGAAGTATTACTCCACTTTTAGAAATGCGGTTTTCCGCCTCAAGTCAAAAAGTGTCTTCTAAAAATGAATGTTATCATAGTGTCTTTAATACAGTTGTAACTATCATTTAATAGTTCCAGTTATAAGATGTTGTAATATTTATTATTGTTATGTTTACCATCCGGGATCTACCAACGAAATATTTTCGATTTTCTGTCCCTTAACTGCTTAAGATTTACAATTTTGTACTGAATTAATGTGATACACTTTAAATTACTATTAAAGACAAACAACAGAAGCCAATGAATATAATAGACTATGTAAATGGAAGAATAATGAAATAGAACAAACTAGTCTTTCAGACGAATTGATAGATAGTCTTTTGGACGACTTGATATATAGTCTTTTGGACGACTTGATAAATAGTCTTATGAACGACTTGATAAATAGTCTTTCATACAAATTTATAGACTTTTGGATGAATTGATAATTAGTCCTTCGGATGACTTGATAACTAATCTTCGGATGAATCGATAACTAGTCCTTCAGATCAGTTGATAGCTAGTCTTTCGAACGAATTGATAACTAGTCTTTCAGATGAATTGATACTAGTTCTTCGGACGAAGTATTGACTAGTTTTTCGGATTAATTGGTAGCTGGTTCTTCAGACGACTTGATAACTAATCTTTCGGATGAATTGATAGCTAGTTGCTTGGGACAACTTGGATAAACAAGTCTTTCGGATAAATTGATAACTAGTCTTTCGGATAAATTAATAACTAGTCTTTCAAATGCACTGATAGCTAGTCTTTCGGATGAATTGATAGTCTTTCGGACGACTTGATAACTAGTCATTCGATAAATTGATAGTCTTTCGGACGACTCGATAACTAGTCTTTCGTATGAATTGATAGGTACTTGATAACTCGTCTTTCGGATGAATTGATAGATTACTATGACAAAATGTCTGATCATCATATGACTATGGTTTTAATGGATGATATTAGAAAGATACATTTTTCTTGAAAATAAATGAACTCCGATGGCGTTAGTTGGCTACTACTCCATGGGGTTCATATAATGTGAATAGGTGTCGATATCCATTAACTAATTTGTAGGCAGGACCAGCTTTATTGGATCACTCATGCCACGTGCATAGATTTAGCTGGAAGAAAAACGGCTTTGCATTTTAGGGAGCGTGTGACACGTTATGAATTATTCAATAGCACATGTATTGTGCTGTTCTCATTTCAATGTTCATCTTTTATTTCCAAAATAAAAACAATGAAATACATATGCTTTGAAAAAAAAGTATTTGTTAGGTTATGTACTCAGCTTATATTTAATATTGTTGGTGAAAACTATGTTGGTAATTAAATATCAAATCCGATAAAATTGTGCCTGTTATAAATTTTGTGATGAAATAAAATTATTTCCGCCCAAAGTTACAGGAAGCTAGTCTTAGTTGGTAGAGCGTCCGAATTGTCAGATTGTCGCAGTTTCGATATATGCCCGGGCAAGCAGAGTAGGCATTTCCCCCATTTCCTCTGCATGCTATAGACAATTTTAATCCAGTAAAATTAAAGCAGACAACAATGAGGGTAAAAAATAAAAGTAAAAACAAACAATCCAATTGTAGTCTTATTTACTTGTTTTGTAAATTAGTCGTAATTTAAAAAGCCCAACCACTTTACAGAACAAGAAAAAGTCTCCTTTGGCAACACTGTTCTGTTTAATAACCAATTATTTTGCATAATATTTTATAGCCTATCAAAAAAATCATTAAATGTTTACAACTACTCTATGTAAAAAATGTTGACGTTAGACTGTTATGAAGAAAGAATAGTTGTCAGAACCGTAATCTGTGCGATTGAGTGGACACTCGTTTCAAAGTCAATCATAATATGATGTTTACTATCCAGCTCTACAGAACGATTCCTCTGGGAAAAATGAATTGACATCATGCAGGATATGGAGTGTGGAGAACGACTATGTCTAGTATGCATGCAAAACCAGTAGGTTCCGGAAATTAATTTCTACAGAAAACAGGCTCGAAGCAATAATAACACTTTGTCGCAGCGATTCTGTATTTTAATCAACTTGATGATTTCCGAGTGAGTAGAAAGGGAGATTATTAATGAAGTGTTTATTGAAATTTAATGGTGTTTTCAATTCAACCTATTGACTCTAGTACACTACAAAAATTACTATGCGCTGCAATACGGACACATTTGTTGCTTCCGTCTTTGATCTTAAAAGCTGCAGATTGAAACATTGCGTTCCTAGATATTGAAACACATTGCGTTCAACCCTTTGCAGATCATAGAGCAAAATACTGACTTTAAAAAGAAGTACAGAATGGTTTAATTAGTCATGTAGAAGAAATGTTCCGACATTTAGGAAGGCAAGTAAAAAGGTTGGATCATATAGTGTAGCTTTTTATTTACGCTGTAAGTATTTACTAGATGTAGCATTCGATCTGACACTGACCGCTACAGTGATCATTGAGAACAGCGGGGCATCCAAAGGTTCATAATTTAATAAATTGTTTTTATAGATCGAATCAGAGAAAAGTAATATTCCATTTTGGTAATTAAAAGACAATTTCAGTTAAGGATATAAATAATAATGTTTGTTTCACTGAGGATTTTTATATCTTTCTATGTGTGTGTGTGTGTGTGTGTGTGTGTTTTAGAATAACCTCCCAAATTTTTTTTAAGGGGACAGGTGGTCTTTCTATATAGATAAAGATAGGTATATTTATGTGTAAATGGAATCAATGGAACTAGGTCTTAATACATAGATGGTCTTTATAAACAAGTGAGAGGCATACATTTGTGTATAAACGGGACCTTTGGGACTTGGTCTTTAGGCACAGATGGTCTTTATAAACAAGTGAAAGGCAATGACTTGCGTATCAACGGGACCCATGGAATTGCCTTTATACACAGTTGGTTCTTATATATAGGCGAAAGGCACTAACTTGTGTATAAACGGGACCCATGGAATTGTCTTTATACACAGTTTGTTCTTATGTACAAAACCTATGGAACTCTCTTTATTCACAATTCTCGTGGGTCGGTGGTTCTTTCCGGTAATTTCCCGGTTTCTTCCTCCACCATTAATACTGGCCGCCATTAATAGCCTATCGTGTGCTGAAAAATGGCGTTAAGTCCCAAAACAACAACAATTATTCACAATTAGTCCATATATACCGGTGGTCACTGCAGCCAGTTTGACTGTAATGTGCCAAATGAGTTGTCATCTATCTCCATAAAGGATAATCATATGGGTTATACACAAACACATTGTATAAAATAGGTAAAAATATATGCCGATAAACAAGGTCTTAAACTATAAATGGACGTTGACCAAATAAACATGGCTCTTTTGGGATTTTTCGTACATGGAAAACTACAACTGAACTCGCATGTTTGTCAGTTGTACATACATGTCTATAAACCGTTACGTTAAGTAACTGGTTTTAACATGCAACACCTCCACTGATTTTCAGTATCTGGAGAGAGAGAGAGAGAGAGAGAGAGAGAGAGAGAGAGAGAGAGAGAGAGAGAGAGAGAGAGAGAGAGAGAGAGAGAGAGAGAGAGAGAGAGAGAGAGAGAGAGAGAGAGAGAGAGATTTACATATCAAAAGGGAAAAATAATAGGTTGTAACTTTAGTTTACCTAGAAATGTACTCAAACTACAAAATGAATAAATTAAATGAAATACGTGCATTTTTAACAACAACAACAACAAAATAACACGCATGCAAGATTTACTTATCTCCAAAACTGAAGAGCCTTACAACATGTAAAACCATTCACCTCCGAAAATGATGATTTGAAAACCCGAAGTGATCCAATAAGCATCGACAAAATTTATGCTTTAGAAAAAGACATGCATTGTTTTGAAAGAATCGTGGTTAGTTTAAAATTACTTTCGAGAGATTTATTAGATTTACTTCATTAAATCAGGAAAATTAACAAAATAACCTGGCCACATGCATGGAACTAATTTGTTACTCTTAACATTTAAAAGTGACATAAGAGTTGATCAGCGTAAGAATAATATCCACAACTGCCCGATAGAGTCGCTTATTTAGCGACTATGGCGCAGAGTGATACTGTACCTAAGGTTGTTGATTTGTCTGGTATCCTGCCTCTTTTACTACATTACCTTTATGAGGTGGGGTACCAGACTAGTAAAGTTCATCCGCTTTTGCCAACACTAACTTCAACATCTACGTCAGGCATGGGCAACTTCCTTCAGGGCTTGAAATGATCTTTAAAGCCACTCCTATGGTTTAAATTAACGAAATAAAACCATGTCATGGGCTAGATCCGGCTCGGGCTATATTTTGCCCATCCGTGGTCAAAGTTTTACAACATACTAAAAAAAGCATAATATAAATTTTGCTCAGGATCTGGTTCGATTAAGTTGCAGTATAAGCCAATTACGATATGATCACAGCTGTGATTGCGTTAAAACCTGCTTGCTGATGTCATAATAACTATTTCCACTGTAGCAGTGAACAAAAAAGAAAAGAAAATACATCAAGATATGAAAGAGTAGTTGAGCTATCAGGATATGCATTTAAGTTAAAAGTTGCAAATATGAATCAGTTGGGAGATTGACATAGGAAATATAGTCCTCAATGGCCGTTTTTCTCAAAACAAGTCCATCTTTTGTACCTTGTGGTCCTATTCTTGTATACTGTGTGTGTGTGTGTGTGTGTGTGTGTGTGTGTGTGTGTGTGTGTTGGAATTTTTAAAGTAGCTATAAAAAAACTCTGTCATATCGCTGCGATGTGAGCAGTGTGGCAGTTTATAGTGAGTGATGTCTAGTAATGGGGCATCTTTTCGCATACATGTACCATCATTTCCCACCAAGTCACATTATCCTGACACCATACCGACCAATCCTAACACTAAATTCTTTATGTTGAGTGCCTAGCGGAGCAGTTGCAAGTACCATTTTTATAGCTCTTTCGTATGCTTCGGCTAGGGTTCGAACCCACGACCTTCCGTAGCCGAGTCAGACGCTTTAACAACTCAGGCCATCGGAGCGGTTTCTATAGTGGAAATAAGGCAAGGAACTGCCCTCCCCCTTACAAATAGATACAAATAGGCCGCATGAAACTGATACAAGGAACAAAACGCTTCTTGAATCGGATCTGGTTGTTATATAACCCACAAATGCTTTAAGTCTCAAGCTAAATCAAGATGAACCCGCATTCTTCTATGACATTTCATGATGTAGCATTTTAGATAAGATTATGTTCTCAACCAATCCCCGTTTTATATTTCTATGCATTAGTAATATATAATGGATATTTAATTCTGGCGGCAGAAATCATTCCCAAGCGATTTAATTCCGTCATAGATTTGAACCTAAATATCGGATTCGTATACATAATTTAACGAGGAATTTTCATTGCTAAGCGAAAGGCTATTTAATGATATGTTTTTGGCTTGTGGAAACAAAGGTCTGCAACATACTTTTGGCTTTGACATTTGTGAGTCCCAATTAATCTTGAATTCAAAAAATTAAAATGATCTTGTCTGTGCTGAAATTTAATCAGAACAATAAATATTTAAAACAAATCATTTCGTGTAGAAACATTATCTTAAAAGGATGTATGTGACAAGGAATCATTGAGAAGAATTGAGGAGAATAATTTAATTTTATGGCGGAATTCCGGTACAACTTTGAGAATGATTAAAAATCATTAAACAATTATTCTTTTTGTTGAGTTTTGACTGACATTTTGAAGTTGTTTGAAAGCAATTAATCATAATCATTAATTGGTTTGTAATGTCTTTCACATTGATATATGTGCGTTGTTATATGGTTGCGTGTGCGAAGTGCGCGATGCACACAGACGCCGCTGCAGAAAAATGTGTGCCAACCCTTCTGAAAGGCACCAAAAATTTCGAAAGGCGCCAAACATTAATCACACACAAGAAGAACAGCACGCGCAGGGCATTTATATATACCACCACGTCGGCCAGTTCTGCGCGTCGGGTAATTCTGCAAAACGAAACGTCATTTCTGTAAACATTGGATCACGTGCTATTTTGAGTCAAAAACCTATTTTGTATCAAGAAAGAACGATCATACTTTAGTTAAGTTATATTCATGAAAAGTACAAAAAATATCCCACAAAATGCATCTGAGAATATAAGTACCGGATTACCAAATAGGCAGAGCACCGACCTATGGAACGCTTTTTAGGGGCTTTGCGACAACGGATTAAAAAAAAATTGAACTGGTTAAATCTTGACGTATTAGGAGATAATTTGTGAGAAGGGGGGGGGCAACAAATTTCGACTGTCTAGGGGCCTCCACAGGGTTTAATCCAGCACTGGAAAATATGAAAATTTGATTTTTAAATGTCAACATGAAGACCCACTCCCTCCTTGAACCTGTAACCCAGAAAATACTATTTACTATGTATCTTTTAGAATCATACAAATAAATACATTATTTAACACATGGAAATATAAACCTTACAAAATTCTGCATCTTATTCCAAATTTCCAATTTTGCAAGAAGTTGTCCCAAACGTACAAAATTGTCTGCTACCCAACGTGTCAATTGGGCGCTATAGTATGTTTCTAATTTCGTTAACATTTTTGCCACATAAACAAGACATTGTAAATACATTACATTCTATTCATTGTTGTTTCTCTTCCACATAATAGCTTATTTTTTATATATAAAATTTTGAACTTTACCAGTCGGTCGAATTCGGTGTGCGTTTTGTTTCAGTATTGGAGACGGAAACCGTGCGTGCGCCGAAATGCCCGATAGCGTTGTGTATATGGAATCAGTACACAATTAATAAAATCTGGTTCAGTACCCACGAATGTAGTCCCAGTCTATTTTTAGATCACTTTTTCCGGTCTAAATTTGGTGGTGATACTAGAGTTAGATTTTGGCATTCTTGGTAAGGATTTAAAGGCAATTGATTATTCTTTAAAATGTGAGCTTATGGTGTGGTTGTCTGTGTGTATTTCGGCGACAGTACACATTGAGTAATAAGGTCATGGTGATGATCCGGAAGTGAATTCTGTGTTCCGTTGCCTGGTGTTTTGTTTACAATTCAGCCTCTCAAAAAAATGCAGGTCTTTCCTTGACAAGAATGAAACCGTAAAGTCATCTTTGAAGGTATTTTAGATTAACATATGATTTGTATTGATTGTCACACAGTGGAAAGTTCAGTACCGAGGAACAAATGTAGAGAACATATAGTAAAATTAATTGTGTACTATGGCCATATGCTGTCGGACATTTCTTTGCACGCAAGGTTTCAGTCTCTTATATTGAAGTAAAAAACGGTTGCTGAGTTTCCTATTAATGAAACATTTATACAATGAGTGGTATATCATTGATACAACGTACAAACTGTACGTATATTTTATTTATATCACATACAGATACATAAATTTGCCCTTTGAACGAGATTCAGATTTACTACAGGGAGCTGTGTATTGACCTAGTGAATGAACTCCTCACATCCCCAAGTGTGTCCGCTATAAAATGTAGTTATATGCCTTTTGTGGCTATTTACAATCACTTCTGCATATTTATGAGTTGATTATTTTCTTTTTCTTTGTTTTTTCCCCTCATATTGATTAAATCAATATAATATACACTTATTGTTTAAACATGACAGATGGTTTTAATAATAAACGTATAGCACTATACACACTTGGTTAGCTAGGCTATTCACATGAACGCCAAGTCATTCTCCTTCCGTCCCTTGGAAATTAATGTGGAATAGAAACTAAGCGGAATGATGAACCAACAAGAGGTAACCGTACAACCTCTCTCATCCTTTGGTCGGTCAGACTTAACCTTTACCCCAATCATAAGTCCAGAAATATTGTGTCCAAAAATTCTCATCGAGCGGTGATACCCTCTTCTTCTTTAGCGGCAGTGGCTGATGCTCACAAAATACATGCCCGCAAAACCAAAGTCCAAGAGAGATCAAGCGTGTTACAGAGTTTACTGGATTTGCCCAAGCAAGAAGTGTCTCGATTTAGTCCGTTGCGAACTCCTCCAGGATGTGTGTTGCCTGTAATCAAGTTGATACGACGTAAAGACAATCAGTGGCGACGCATTCCAGTATAAAAAGACCTGAGGTAAACCATACGGATAAGTGTTTTTTTTTGTGCTGCTGAACTCCAAAGATGTCACCTTTAAAAAGTGTAGACCGTTACCGTCGTCGTTCTTCTGTTCAAAAATGAAACGGAAAACGAAAAAGACAGTCATGTCATCCTAAGAAACACTCTCAAACATCGGCGACACTGAAAAGACGCACTCGCCCACAGAAAAGGAGAAGCCACCAAAAGGGAAACTTCTTTGGCCCTTTCTTTGAATTCGATAACATAGCCAATATTTTTATCACAAGGGTATAGGTCAGGCTGCAAAAAATAAGATAAATGACGTATGTCGAACGATGAATGCCAGTGTATGATGAATTCCAAAAAATGTCAACTCACTGTCGTTCTTTAGTCCAGAAAGGAAAAAGGTCTCGTCATACGAAAAAAAACGCTTAGCGAAATATCGACGTCACTCCCATAAAAGATACACTCATCCAGAGATTTTGGAAAACACATCGTTACCTTTATGGCGAAGCGAAAGTGCAAAAAAAGATTAAAGGCCGAATGAACAGTCATCGACTTTAGTGTATTATTGATGTGTTTCTCGGAATCAACAAACAAAGATGTCACCAAAAAAATATTCCTCTTCTTCGCCAAGAGGAAAGAAAAGGGAAGTACTGCCTCCTCGTTAGTCAAATTTTGGAACATGTCTGTCCTGTCCAAAGCTCCTCCACCCATGCATAAAAAACTCCTTCAAACTGCCTCCAAAGATGTCATCGATACAGCGAGCGAATGTTGTCTGAACGTCTGGAGAGGCACAACACCTTTGACTAAACATCAAAATAATTGCTTAGCCAAACATCGACACGTTTTTCGCCGAATGGTCCAAAAGAAAAGACCCATTCGCCAAAATAAAGAGAGATGTTAAATTCGAAGGATTTTAATCCCTGTTAGGACTTATTACCAATGTAGCAAAATCTATACTTAGTGCAATGGAACATATTATACCTGCCTCTAGTTCCAAGATAAAAGACCAAGAAGATAAAAGGAGAACACTGGAGTCAAAAGATCTCAGACGTGATCCTTGAAATCTGATGGTAGGACGAAAACTGACTTTAGTCCCTTACAAACGATGGATGGAATACCATCGTTGGCAAGAACAACTAACCCCACATTTACCCCCCAATCCTCATTTGACCGAGATGCTCCAGTTGCAGCATGAACTACAATCGTTGATAGATCTCAGCGATTTGTCAGAAACGAAAAAATATCAACGGTACGGTCAATTGTTGCAACGACTGCAACTCTTTCACCAAAAAGCTTTAGACGAATCAGCTCAATCCACTCTGAAAGATTGTTAAGGCCTTGATGAAAAGTCCATCACTAATACCACCCACAGAAGTGGTCAAGACATAGAAAAGAGAAGAAGAGTTTCAAACTCCACAAGAAAATGACGCAAGTTAACAACACCACTAACATCTAAAATTGGTTTGCTTATAAAGAAGATGACAACCCTTTCTTCCATCATAGGAGAAAAGCTAGGTGAAGACAAAACAGTTAAACAAGAACCGATTACCTCTGTTCAGTCATCCTCCTCGTCGACACATATTGCTCGTCTGACACGCAAACCATTATAAACCAATAAAATACCACACGAAGACAAGAAAATTGTCGAAAATTGGATCACTTACTTAAACAATGGAGTAGGTCTTAGTCAGCATTTACTATGATCCATCCCATCCTGCCGGTTACTGAGGACTTTAGAAATTGTATCGTGCTGCCAAAACAAGACTGAAAAGTGTCCGTTTATCTCAAGTGCAACTATGGTTACAAGAACAAGCCACGTATAGCTTACACAAACTCATTCGACAAAAATTTTCTAGAAGTCGCATCCGAGTGAAAGGCATCGATCATCAACGGCAAGCTGATTTAGATGATGTCTCTTGTTTGGCCACCTA